GAGTTGAAGTATCATCCTGGCAAGGCCAATGTTGTAGCTGATGCTCTAAGTCGGAAATCCGTGAGCCTATCCAGTTTGTCGATCGGTGACTTTGATGTCATTGAGAAGTTTCAAGATCTGGCGGTGACTTCCTTGTTTGGAGGTGCACTACTCGAGATGGAGACTGTGAGAGTCAAGAATGAGCTTATGGAGAAGATCCAAGAGGCGCAAGTGCAGCAAGAGTGCCTGGACTACGTGAAGAACCAAGACGGTGTGTCTTGGAATAAAGATGGACTCTTGTTATTCCAGAAGAGGATTGTGATTCCTCGAGGTCCTTTGACCGAAGAGGTTATGGCAGAGGCCTATATGGGACAGTTCACGGTTCACCCTGGTGCTACTAAGATGTATCAGGACTTGAAGCGAAATTTCTGGTGGCCAAGTATGAAGAAGGACATAGCTGTGTATGTGTCGAAGTGTTTGATTTGCCAGAAGGAGAAGATAGAACACCAGAAGCCGTCTGGTAAACTTCAACCTCTAGAGATTCCGGAATGGAAAAGGGAGAGCATTTCCATGGACTTCGTGGTGGGCTTGCCGAAGACTCAGGTTGGCTGTGACTCTATTTGGGTCATTGTGGACAGACTGACGAAGTCTGCCCATTTTATTCCAGTGAAGGTGAGCTTCACTACTGAGTAGTTGGTCAAACTGTATGTTCGCGAGATCGTGAGGCTTCACGGGGTCCCCGAGAGTATCATCAGTGATAGGGACCCGAAGTTCACATCTCAGTTCTGGGAGGCGCTGCAGGGAGCTTTTGGTACTCAGTTGAGATTGAGTACAACCTATCACCCTCAGACTGACGGGCAGACTGAGCGGACCATCCAGACCTTGGAGGACATGTTGAGGGCTTGCACTTTGGAGCAGGGTTCAGCATGGGATAGGTACCTGCCGTTGGTGGAGTTTTCGTATAACAACAGTTTTCATGCTAGTCCTGGGCATGGCACCCTACGAGGCGTTGTATGGTAGGAGATGTCTGACTCCTACCTGTTGGTCTGAGGTTGGAGATAAGGAGTTGTTTGGCTTGGACTTTGTCCAAGATACCACCCAGCAGATCCAGATGATCCGAGAGAAGCTGAAGCAGGCGCAGAATCGCCAGAAGAGTTACTACGATGTCAAGCATCGTCCACTGGAATTCAGTGAGGGTGAGCACGTGTTTGTGAGACTTTCACTTGTCACCAATGTTGGTGGGGCACTTGGAGTGAGGAAGCTGAGCCCGCGATTCATTGGGCCATACCAGATTCTTGGTAGAGTAGGACATGTTGCCTACCGGCTTGCCTTGCCCCCGAACTTGGCCCACATCCATCACGTTTTTCACGTGTCTCAGCTTCAAAAGTACATAGCAAATCCTTCGCACGTGGTTCAACCAGATGATGTGGAAGTTTGGGAGAACTTGAAAACTTTCGTCGGACCACTCAAGATTCTGGATCGTGGCGAGAAGAAGTTGAGGAGCAAGATCATTCTGATGGTCAAAGTGCAGTGGACAGGAAGAACTCCTGAGGGGTGTACTTGGGAGCGAGAGGACGAGCTTCTCCAGCAATATCCCGACTTTCGAGACCGGTATATTCTGATTTTGACGACAAAATCCTAAAAATGTGGGGTGAATGTAAGAACCTGCACCGTTAATTAAGGAAGTTAATTAATTAATTATGAGAAATTAGGAAATAATTCCATAATTTACCCTAATAATTATGATAAGGCTTAAATAATATTGGTAAGTAATTAATAATGCTGAAAGTCGCTTTTCTGACGAAAAGTGCAGATACCGGTTCTGCTACTCGGTATAAATGCGTATTGATGAAGTATTCTGAAAAATTATAATAAGTGCATGAATATTCTTAGAATAATATATAGGACTGTGATTTCATGTTTCAAGTTAAAATAATGAGAACTGGTGCCAGAACTAATACTGGCTATGTAAAAGCGCGTACCGAAAAGATGCTTCGAAAAATAAAATAAAAATATGAAAAATCTTAGAAAAATGAGTAGGTTCAGAGTTTGAGATTAAAATACTAAGCGTAGCTATTATTGTTAATACGGTGTGATTAATTTTAAGTGGCTTTTAAATAGACCCATGCACATTAACCTAGGCTGATCTCCTTCATTCTCTACATGAGTTTTGGTGCTCAGCTGCTGCCACCTCCATTCCTTAGCCTCCCTTGCTTGAAAATGTTCCAAGTCTTCACCTTTTCTCTCATTTTCTTCATCTAAACACTTGGTTGGGAGTGGGTTAGCGTTGTGAGGGAGGGGAGTGCTCCATTTCTAAGTTGGAGGTGCTGTTCTTGAGTGTTGTCAAGGCTGACTCCACTATTTTGTGAGGAGAAAGCCACTGTTCTTAACTTGTGTGGCTTCGTGGAGCCATCTTTGTTGTGAAAGGATCAAACTTTGTTGTCTTTTTCGTTCTTCTTCAAAGTCAGAATCTTTGAAGTTGTTTGGTGAGCTCCAAGAGCAACCTTTTCTGAGTTTTGAGCTTGGGTAAGCTTTACCACCTTTGATCATGAGTTTAATGGTTAAAAATGGAACCTTGATGCATGTAATGAACTAAAGTTAATAACTTGAGGTTGGGTAAGGTTAAACACACCTAGAAATGTATGTTTTAGCCTCTGTAATCGTGAAAAGAACCACCTTTGGGAAGGATATCTCGCAAAATGCAAAACTGCATTCTGTCGCGAAATATCCGGATATGGATATCCGGATATCAATATGGGGTCTTGAGATATCCGAATATGGATATCCGGATATGATATCCGGATATTGATATCCGAATATGTCCCCGACAAATATCCGGATATTCTGGGAAGTTCGGAACAGTAACGATATTGTTCATACAGAATGTCACTTTGGGTTTTGGACCCATGATTGGCTTATGTGGACTTCTGTATTAATTAATCTAAGTCAGAATCAAAGTGATTAAGGGCTTGTAGCTTTTGAGAAGCCTAAAGACATGAAACGTAAAGGAAAGGCGCTGTCTTTATGTCATATGCTTGTATATTTGAATATTGATATGATTGTTGGTTCAAAACAGATTGTGATTATATTGTGTTTGGGCTTTGAGCTTGTGTGGACTCTTGGCTTGGATAGCTAGCTTGCAAGGTAAGCTTTCGTGTCCTCGGTTTAGCCATTGTTTGTTCCACCATGTCTCATGGGGGGATGGTTATATGCATGATGTGTTTTCATGTACTGTTTCATTGAAATGCTATTGAACTGTTAAGTGCAATTGCTTTATGATATGTATATGGTGTTTCTCTTAGACAGGAAGCCATGGGGTGGTCCTGTGGGCGGGTACAGCATGGGCATGTACTGTGTGGGTAATAGACGTATTCATGCACTTCTCTGATCAGTAGAATAGTTATAACACACATGACATAATTATCTGTTGCATTGCACTGTTTTGGAACTTATACTGTTTAACGGCTTTTGGAACTTCTATTGCACATGTAAGTGAGCTTGCGGTGGAAGATCCTTGAGGACCCCTTGTCTTACTGAGATTTCTGTTTAGAGATCACACCCCACGTTTGGGGCGCTTATTTCAGGTTCAGGTAATGCGGAGGTTGAGACCTCCAGCGGCAGGAGGCCGGAGCTTAGCTGATTTACTTGTTGTTATGCTGATTATGTTGGATGCTGGATTATGCCTGTTTCTATTTGTTGTTAGCTTTATGATTATGTTTCTGTTGTTGTTGAGACTTGTTTGGCTATGTTGCCTTATTTGGTGAGCATGGAGATTGTCTATGCCACATTGATTGACTATGCCTTTGTTTAGATCTGAGTTGTATTAATGTATCAGGATTGTCCGGGCTACGTGTTGTAGTTCCGTGATTTTAGATACCCACGATTATTTATATATTGAGGTATTTCAGTTAGCTGTCTATTTGCAAATTACATACAGGCGATGTTTTTATGAAATTGATTAAGTAATCAACTTGGCTAACTATAATGACGTCATAATTGAAAAGAAAAAGATATTCCGCATATTTAATTAAGTGTGGCTTAATACGATGACATGTTAACAAATTAGGTATACTCGGGGTTTTACAATAGTGGTAGTGATGAGGATGCTAGTGGTATAGAGTTATTGAGAGAAATAAGTGTTTCTCATTTTGTGCCCAGGAACAAAAAAAAGCAAAAAAAAATTCATTCTCTTTTCTTTTTTCCAGCACAAAAATTGAACCTGTTCTTCCGAGGAACAAAAAAAATAAACTGATTTTACCAAACGAGTTTTCTATCTATTTATGTTTTTGGGAATAGAAATTAAAAAAAAAATTCGGAAAGGTTGTCATGCACACCCTTAGTGATCACCATATTTCTATTATTTAAAGAAAATACTTTTGCACCTTTTTAAAAATTTATATCTCCTCGCATTATTTAGAATAAGGGACAAAGTCGTAGTCTAGCTGTAAAATGCCGAGGTTAGAATAATTATTTAACGATAAAAAGTGGAAATATGCACGATTGCACGTGAAGTGATTTATGTCTTTAATTAACATTATGAAACAGTGACATACAATCGTGGCTGCTATATTTGATGTCCTCCACGGTGGGGTTACCGTATGTTATTATGTACAAGTTGGAGGAACCACATATTTGGTCCAATCTTACGTATTGAGCGAAATCTTGGTGGGTAAAAAACATGAGGGTCTTGCATGTGAGGAGATTGAGCTAGCTAGTAAAATTATAATTTTAGATTTCAAACTATGCTTCAACTTGATTTGGCCCATAGAAAAGAATACTTCTAGGGTCTCAAAAACTATTATTCCCCTTGAGTTTGACTCATATCTCACTTCAGACACAATGATGAAAGAAGCTTCCTAGGCCATAGTAATATGGATATTCAATGAGCTCACCAGTTTTAGACTACTTTAGTCACTTTATACAATGCGTGCAATGTCTTTTCACCTTAACGTGCTATTCCTATACCTATATATAATCCAACATTCCCCTCCATTTTTCTTACCCCAAAATCAAAAAACACAATGAAAACCACATTGTTTCTCCTGTTCATTTTGCTCTCTCATGCTGCATCGGAAAGATGCAACCCAGAAGACAAAAATGTCCTTCTCCAAATAAAGAAAGAACTCAACAACCCAACCATTCTCTCCTCATGGAAACCAAACACTGATTGCTGTCACCAAAGTTGGTACGGTGTCAAATGCTATAATAAACGTATTGGCTCTCTAACTATCACAGACAATAACGACCTTAACTCTCAAATTCCACCCTCCATTAGTAATCTACCTTTCTTGCATGATCTTAATTTCATCAACTTACCAAACCTCACTGGCCCAATCCCTGAGTCCATATCCAAACTCACAAATCTTAAATTACTCACAATCAGTTTAACAAGCATATCAGGTCCAATACCCAACTTCGTGGCTAAACTGAAAAACCTCATTAACTTGGATCTCTCATTCAACAACCTCTCTGGGGCACTCCCTCCCTCTCTTTACAAGTTACCTAATCTCTCAGGAATCTTCTTTAACAACAACAAGCTCACGGGTTCAATCCCTCCTTCATATGGGTCCTTCAATACCAACAATTTAAAAGTTTTACTTCTCTCTAATAACCAGCTCTCGGGGACACTCCCAGTGTCCTTGGCAAAGTTCAACTCCTCGGTTAGATACCTTATCGACTTGTCTCATAACAGGTTTGAAGGTGATGCCTCAATGCTTTTTGGTTCCACCAAAATGGCAGAATATATAGACCTTTCTTGGAACAAGTTTGATTTTGATATAGGAAAAGTGGAGTTGTCTAAGACACTCACAACGTTGGATATAAGTCACAATCAGATCTATGGGAACCTGCCAATGGGAATGGAAAATTTAGTGGGTTTGAATGTGAGCTACAATAGGCTTTGTGGTGAGATTCCAAAGGGTGGCAATCTTCAGAGCTTTGATGTGTATACATATTTTCATAACAAGTGCTTGTGTGGGTCCCCACTTCCAAGCTGCAAGTGATCTCTGGTTCTAGTTCTTTTACACTTTGAGAAGTTTGATGAATAATGTGTTCGTTTTATTAGTCGCGTGTGGTTTTTAAACTTTTAGTGACCGTAGATCAGTCACACTAGTTTAGATCAGTCACACTAGTTTGGAATAATAAATTCACAATATATATATATATATATATATAGAAAAAGTATTTATACAGCCACTTTAGATTATATTATCTATAGTTATCATTTTTTAATTAAATCAGACCAGTAAGACATAGTTATATTAATAAAATTGTTTTTTTTTTTTCTTCTCTCAGATATTGTCGGCTGACGTGGCGGAAAGAGAAAATGCAATATTTATGTCTTACTGGTCAGACTTAGTTAAAAAGAATAACTATAGATAATCTTATCTAAAGTGACTGTACAAATATTTTACCATATATATATATATATGATTATGTTTTAAATTTTTGAGTTTTTCTAAGTAGATTTTTATTTTTTTATTGATTTTCTGATTCCGTAAGTAATTGGTGTTCTCTGTACGGTCATTAGAAAAATCCTCATTTCTTTAATAGTCCTCATGCTTCACGAGGTGTTACAATCGATTATGCTAACAAAGCTCCTCTGAAATATACAACAAGCCATGGCATTCGTGGAAAGGAATATTTAAGAGGAGCCTAAAATGCTAAAGGATTAACAAAAAAGAAAAAAATACGATTGTCTTATTGAATGTTTAAAACTTATTTTTTTCTTACTTTTTTCCTTTCGGCTTTGATATAGTTTATGTACAGTAATATCCCTTTTTTACTGGCATACCAAGCGTTCTGGCGTTTATAGAAAGGGTAAACTTTAGAAAGTCATGAGAGTCAAATGGAACTTTGCTAGCTAATTAAAATAAAATAATAGATTTCACTTTTGTATCAATTTGATTTGGCCTAAAGAATAAAATCCATTTATAGTGTCTCAAAAACTAACACCATTAAGCAGGAGCTAGTTTGACGTTTGTCTCCCGTACAATTCTTCCCAACGATTAAAGACGCTAAAGCTATATGTACTAATTAGGATGAAATTGGGTTGAGGCAGCTTACTCGGATCTATAGCCTAGTCTATATCAGGTTAGATTTAACTTATTATATATAGTCAAATAGAACATGTCTGAATTTTTAGAAAAACCTATTTAAAAAGCATGTGCTTTTTTTTATATGTGGGGCCAATAAACCTACAAACCGGCTTATATCATATTATTTATTTTAAATAAAATAAAATAATATTATTCATAGTAGTATCAAATGGTGATAATTCAGTTGGTACATGTGAGCTGAGTAGGTGGTGGAAAGACCTAGGTTTGATCCCCTACCAATATTTTCTTTGGGAGTGCATAAGATTTGTATCAATCTCTATAGTACCATCAGAATAAACATTTAGTGCTTAAGGAAGAGTTATTGATGTCTATCGTTCTAGCTTAGCTGAATATACCATCCAAGCTTTAATATATGGTGGAGATTGGCTACGTAATAAGTATGACTTTGAAGAAAAAATAAAAAGGTATATAAAAGTTTTTCGTTTTTAATCCTTTTTTTTCTTTCTATTCTTTAATCTTGTTTTTTGTTTTTCACATTTACAAATTGTTTGCCAACTTATGTAACCTTGGAATTGAATTTGCAGAGGAGAGAAGATGATGAGAAGTTTTTAACTACTACAAGCATCATAATGTATTGTTATCCAAAAAAAGAGAGCATCATAATGTATTTGTTGGATTCATGCAGTTATTTTAATTTACATAGTGTGGATTGATTAGTTGGATCTGATAAAATATATATTATTTGTTGGATGTGATAAGTTGTTGTTGTGATTCATGGTTTCGTTTGAACGTTGAAATTATGGTTTTTGTTTTAATAACAAAATTTGAGTATTTTGTGAAGTTGATTCATGTTATGCTTGAAAGTTAAAAATTAACAGGCTAAAGGTCAGACCAGGCCATTTGTTTTTTATAAATGGGTCGTGCCAAGCTAATAGTTAGACTCGTACTATGCTATCGGGTAAGATCAAATTGAAACTTTTGGGATAGGTTTGGACTTTTCGGGACAAAGTGTTGCAATTTCGGCAAGTATATCGATCGTTTCAAGTAATAAAAGTGTGAGTATAATATCGTCTTATGAGGATTAATGCACCAAGTATTATTATAACTAGTCCTCTTAATTTGGAAAACTCGAATTGGTTTGAAAAATAGAATTTGAATTAAAGTAAAAGTAATTAATTGCAATAAATATCAAGAATATTCAAGAACGCAAGAAGAGATACGATTAAAGATCTGTAATAAGAAACTGTAGCTAGGAATTATTTCACCTCAGATCCTCCTAGAGAAGTCTAAATTAAATTCAATACTAATTCATCTCAGATATTTCAGACAATTCATCTTCTAAAAATAGTTAGTTAAATCCTAATGTCTTATGACTTTAACCCTTTACTCTAATTAGAATCCTAATGTCTTAGTAATTCCTCTTAGAATAAGCATTAAACACAATGAATTATAAAGTCTACAATTCAAGCAAGCCTATGTCTAGATCATGCAAGAATTGATATTTTACCACTGTCAGGATTAAAACCCCAATATGTCTATTGCGGGCTCTAACCCTCAAATCCCTATAAGAGTGATCAATTCATACAAGGATATAGAAATTCATGCAAGGTAAAACACAAATAACTAAAACAATTTATTAAAGAAATCAAATTAAATCATAACTAGGATTCACATCGGATCCATAATCCTAACTACATAAATGAATTTAGGCTAACATATTCATAAATTCATAATAAAAATATGATGAAAAATAAAAAGAGTTCATGACAAAACTTGATTAATGATGACCAAGTGATGAAGCTTTGATGATCTTCTTCTTCTCCTGTAGAATTCTGCTCCAAAATTTTTCCTCCTATTCTGCCTTTGTCTCTAGAGTCTTTGCTTTCTTCTGTCTTCCGAATCTAGTTTCTGAAGGTTTCGTCTCGTTCTATTTAAAGACTTAAATTGAGCCTTTAATTTTGGGGCCAGCTCGCTGAAGCGAGCTGCTCAACGAGCAATTTTTCGTTCCTCTCTGTAAGAACCTGCACTGTTAATTAAGGAAATTAATTAATTAGATGTGAAAATTAGAAAATAATTCCATAATTGACCCTAATAATTATTATGAGGCTTAAATAAATATGGTAAGTGATTAATAATGTTGAAAGTCGCTTTTCTGATGAAAAGTGCAGATACCGGTTCTGTTACTCAGTATAAATGCGTACCGAAAAAGTATCTTAGAAAATTATAATAAGCGCATGAATATTCCTAGAATATTATATAGGACTAGGAAAACAAGTTTCAAATTAAAATAATGAGAACTGGTGCCAGAACTGATACTGGCTATGGAAAAGCGCGTACCGGAAATGTGCTGCAAAAAATAAAATAAAAATATGATAAAACACGTAAAAATGAGTAGATTCAGATTCCAAAGTTTGTGATTAAATTGTTAAGCGTAGCAATTAGCGCTAATACAGTGCGATTATGGCTTAAGTGACTATATATACTTATTCTTTGGGCACAAAACCCTAGACCTTCTATTCCTACGTGACTTTGGGCGGCTGAGGTTCTCTAAACACTGTTCCATTGCCTATTGCTTCATTTTGTGAGCCTTGAAGCATTTTCTCCTTGATTTATTCCTCTTTCTCCTTGTAAACATAGAGTGAGTGCTTGGAGAGGGTGAGTTTCAGCTGGTGTTGAGTTGGGGGTGCTGTTTGGGAAGAGTCTAAGGGCTGACTTGGTAGTTTGGGTGTTGAGGAGTCTTGTTCTTGGCTTGTGAAGCTTCAAGAAGCTTTCCTTGTGAAGAAAGGGCCAAGCTTTGTTGGCATTTTCGCTGCCTTTGCAAGTCAGATTGTAGGAGCTGAAGTGTGAGCTCCAAGAGCACATTCTTGCTCTGTTTTGAGCTTGGGTAAGTGTCATCAACCTTGAGCATGATTTTTCTTGGTTTAAATGTTGAGTCTTGGCATGTAAATGAGTTAGACAAGTAACTAATCAGTGTATGAACCTTTATGTGCCTAAAAATGGATCCTTGGACGTATAATAATGGTAAAAGTTGGACCTTTGAGTGATATCTTCGCGAAAATGCAGAACTGCATTCTGTCGCGAAATATCTGGATATGATATCCGGATATTGTTATCCGGATATGGGGTCTGTGATATCCGCATATGGATATCCGGATATGATATCCGGATATGGGATATCTGGATATGTACCCGACAAATATCTCGATATTCTAGGTTTTCGAAGAACAGTAGCTGCACTGTTCATACAGAAGGCTATTGGGGGTTAGTGGACCCTAGATTGATGAAGTTGAACTTCTGTAATAATTAATGTAAGTAAGAATCAAGGGATTAAGGGCTTGTGGCTTCGTGAGAAGCCTAAAGACGTAAAACGTAAAGGAAGGGCGTTGTTTTTAAATTGTATGCTTGTTGTGCCTAAATATTGATAATATTGTTGGTCCAAACAGATTGTGATCTTGCTGTTTGTGGACTCTAAGATATTGTGGACTCTTGGCATTAGATTGTTAGCTTGCAAGGTAAGCTTTCGTGTCCTCGGTTTAGCCATTGTATGTTCCACCATGTCCCATGGGGGATGGTTTATATGCATGATGTATTTTCATGTACTGTTTTATGAAATGCTATGGAGTTGTTCAGTGCAAATGCTTTATGATATGTATGTGGTGTGACGCCTACACAGGAGGCCATGGGGCGATCCTGTGGGCGAATACAACATGGGCTGGTACAACATGGGCTGATACTGTGTGGGTAATAGACGTATTCCTGCACTTCTCTGATTAGTAGAATAGTATAAACACACATGACATGATTATCTCCTGCATTGCACTGTTTTGGAACTTATACTGTTAAATGGCTTTTGAACTTATATTGCACATGTAAGTGAGCTTGAGGTGGAAGATCCTTGAGGACCCCTTGTCTTACTGAGATTTCTTTTTAGAGATCTCACCCCA